TCTGTCTGCACATCCACGGTCTGTCTGCACATCCACAGTCTGTATCCACGGTCTGTCTGCACATCCACAGTCTGTGTCCACAGTCTGCACATCCACGGTCTGTCTGCACATCCACGGTCTGTCTGCACATCCACAGTCTGTGTCCACAGTCTGCACATCCACGGTCTGTCTTCACATCCACAGTCTGTCTGCACATCCACGGTCTGTCTGCACATCCACAGTCTGTCTGCACATCCACAGTCTGTGTCCACGGTCTGCACACTGTTTGTATGTCCCACCCGGTCATGATATGATGGACAGTGAAAGTGATGGCCTGGGAGAGCCGTTCTGAGCTGTACCGCTGCAGCCCACACATCCACCACATCATCACGTCTGGTGACAGGCGCCTGTGGTCCATCTCACTGGAGAGTTGGGGTTGTTTTCTGGCTGAGGAGGGGCATGTCTGCATGTTCCAGGTCCAAGCCCTTTATCAGGTCTCTGTGCGGGCTGCCCCTCTCCATTCTGATGGGAATTTTTATCTATAGTATTAAAATCTGAAAAGAAAAGGTATTCTGTTCTCTTAGAACAACAGGGTTTTGTTGTTGTTTCCTGTACTTTCTATTTGCCGTTTTAATCTCTTTAGAGACTTTGTGTGAGGACTGACTACGTGTTTAGAACCTAACTTGGCACCCAGCAAATGCTCAGTTAATAAGAACAAGGCTTTTCATGAAGTGGAACTTTCACAGTTTCCCTTCCACGCCTGGCTTTTTACACTGTAGCTGAAAAACTCAAGAAAAGTCCTGTTTGGCAAAATAGAAGATCAGGGAAAAGAGAGATAGGATCCTCTGTGACATGGGTGATGACACGGTGATGGCAGTGACCTCTGTGATGTGGGTGATGACACGGTGATGACAGTGACCTTTGTGATGGTGATAACATGTGATGGCAGTGACCTCTGTGACGTGGGTGATGACACGGTGACCTCTGACATGGATGGTGACACGGTGACCTCTGTGACGTGGGTGATGACACAGTGACCTCTGTGACGTGGGTGATGACACAGTGACCTCTGTGACGTGGATGGTGACACAGTGACCTCTGTGACGTGGATGGTGACACGGTGACCTCTGTGACGTGGGTGGTGACACGGTGACCTCTGTGACGTGGGTGGTGACACGGTGACCTCTGTGACGTGGGTGATGACACGGTGACCTCTGTGATGTGGGTGATGACACGGTGACCTCTGTGACGTGGATGGTGACACGGTGACCTCTGTGACGTGGATGGTGACACGGTGATGGCAGTGACCTCTGTGACGTGGATGGTGACACAGTGACCTCTGTGACGTGGATGGTGACACGGTGACCTCTGTGACGTGGGTGATGACACGGTGACTTCTGTGACGTGGATGGTGACACGGTGACCTCTGTGACGTGGGTGATGACACGGTGACCTCTGTGACGTGGATGGTGACACGGTGACCTCTGTGACGTGGATGATGACACGGTGATGGCAGTGACCTCTGTGACATGGATGGTGACACAGTGATGGCTGCAGTGACCTTGGTGACACGGAAGCAGAGCAGAGACCGAGGACGGCCCAAGCGGAGCCACGAGTGTAGAGGTGCAGCAGCTTCATGATGGTGGTGTGGGGAGCTGGCTGGGCCGCCGCTGGGCCTGGGTTCTGTCCCCTGCCAGTTCCTCTTTCATGTGAGTGTGGGTGCAGGTCACGGACTGTCTGCTGTCCTCTGAGACCAGGGGGCCTGTGGTGGGAACGTGGCCGAGCTGGGTGCTGGGGCTGCAGGGGCAGCTCCCTGGGCAGTTGGTGGAGGCCCCGGCTCAGGCACCACTTGCTCTCGCTCCAGGTGGTCAAGTACCCTCTGCACGCCATCATGGACATCAAGGAGCACCTCATCGACATGGCCTCCAAGGCGGGCATGCAGTGGCTGTCCACCATCGTGCCCACCCACCACCTCAACGCCCTCCTATTCTTCTTCATCATCAGCAACCTGACCATCGACTTCTTCGCCTTCTGCATCCCCCTGGTGGTCTTCTACCTGTCCTTCTTCTCCATGGTCATCTGCACCCTCAAGGTGTTCCAGGACAGCAGGGCCTGGGAGAGCTTCCGCACACTCACTGACCTGCTGCTGCGCTTTGAGCCCGGCCTGGATGTGGAGCAGGCCGAGGGCAACTTCGGCTGGAACCACCTGGAGCCCTACGTCCACTTCCTCCTGTCCGTCTTCTTTGTCATCTTCTCCTTCCCTGTTGCCAGCAGGGACTGGGTGCCCTGCTCCGAGCTGGCCCTGGTGGCCATCTTCTTCACTGTGACCAGCTACGCCAGCCTGGGTACCTCAGCAGAGCCCTACACTCGCCGGGCACTGGCCACCGAGGTGGCGGCCGGCCTGCTGTCGCTGCTGCCCGCGCTGCCTGTTGACTGGCCGCCACTGCAGCTGCTGGGCCAGACGCTGGTGCGCATGCCACTGGGCCAGCTGGTGGTGCTCAACGTCAGCGTACCCTGCCTGTTCTACCTGCACCTGCTCTACTGCTTCTTCCGCATGGCGCAGCTGCGGCACTTCAAGGGCACCTACTGCTACCTGGTGCCCTACCTGGTCTGCTTCATGTGGTGCGAGCTGGCCGTGGTGCTCCTGCTGCAGTCCACGGGGCTGGGGCTCGTGCGTGCCTCCATCGGCTACCTGCTCTTCCTCTTTGCCCTCCCGGTGCTGGCCGTGGGGCTGGTGTTGGTGGGCCTGGTGCAGCTGACGCGGTGCCTGCTGTCCCTGGAGCTGACCAAAGTGGTGGTGGCGCTGGTGGCCTGTGGGCTCCCGCTGCTGCTGCTGCGCTGGGGTGCCGGGGCCCGCGCCTCTGTGGCCAGCGCACTGCGCTCACTGACACGCAGCTCCGTGGTCAAGCTCATCCTGGTCTGGGTCTCAGCCGTGGTGCTGTTCTGCTGGTTCTACGTGTACCGCTCAGAGGGCATGAAGGTGTATAACTCCACGCTGACCTGGCCACAGTACAGCGCCCTCTGCGGGCCACGGGCCTGGCGGGAGACCAACATGGCGCGCACGCAGATCCTCTGCAGCCACCTGGAGGGCCACCGCGTCACCTGGACCGGCCGCTTCAAGTACGTGCGGGTGACCGAGATCGACAACAGCGCGGAGGCGGCCATCAACATGCTGCCCTTTGCAGTGGGCGACTGGCTGCGCTGCCTGTATGGCGAGGCCTACCCGCCCTGCGACGCGGGGGGCGCGCCCACCGCCCAGCAGGAGCTGTGCCGCCTCAAGATGCTGGCCAAGCACCCGTGCCACATCAAGCGCTTCGACCGCTACAAGTTCGAGTTGACGGTGGGCATGCTGCTGGGTGGCCCCGAGGGCACACGGGCAGAGGAGGACGACGTTACCAAGGACATTGTGCTGCGTGCCAGCAGTGAGTTCCGCACGGTGCTGCTGGGCCTGCGCCAGGGCAGCCTCGTGGAGTTCAGCACCGTGCTCGAGGGCCGGCTGGGCAGCAAGTGGCCAGTCTTCGAGCTCAAGGCCATCAGCTGCCTCAACTGTCTGGCGCAGCCCTCCCCGGCCCCTCGGCACGTGAAGCTGGAGCAGGACTGGCGCAGTACGGCTCACGGAGCACTCAAGTTCGCCTTCGACTTCTTCTTCTTCCCCTTCCTGTCAGCTGCGTGAGGACGCTCCCTGGGGAGGTCTGTCCCGGACAGAAGCCAGATGTGTGTCCAGGTGTGCATGCGTGTGCATTGCACGTGTGTGTGCACATGAGTACCTATGTGAGCGTGCTCGTGGGTTTCCATGCTATGAGCATCTGTGTGTATGCTGGGTGTTTGCACGCATGTGTGCGCTATGCCATGGTCTGTGCTCATGACCAGACATGCTCCTCCATATTTGCTCGTGTGTGCGCGTGTCATTGGTCTGTGTGCTCACGGACAGCCGTGCTCCTGGGTATTTTCACACGTGGGTGTATGTGTATGCACATGGTCATGATTCTTTGCACACCTGGTCTGTGTGCTCACAGTCAAGCGTGCCCCCGGGTATTTGCAGGTGGGTGTACATGTACACATGTAGCCATGGATATTTGCGTACGTGTGTGTGTGCACGTGTCACTGGTCTGCTCACGGGCAGCCATGCCCCTGGGTATTTGCATGCGTGGGTGCACACACGTGCATGTACTCCTGAGTGTGTGTGTTTCTGTGCATCCATGGGTGCATGTGGGCGTTTGCAGGAGATGCGTGGGTGCACTCACAGTTGTGATTCCGTGAATAGATGTCTCCATGCCGTGCTGTTCCTCTGTACTCACCCATTGTGCCCGCCTAGTTGGGAAGCACCTGCAGATCCAGAGGGGCTGCAGGTGGTGAGAGCCCAGGACTGTCTGAGAAGCTCTTTAGAGACCCCTCCTGGCAGAGACCCTCCTGCACAGGTCCCCATGCTGGTGCAGGAGCAGGAGCTGGGTGTGCTCGGAAGCAGATGGGGCAGCTTGTGGTATTTATTTACTCCCTGACTGAGCTGGACAGCCTCGGTGAACACGGGGCAGGCTTGCCCCTCAACCTCCCAGTGGCCGAGGCCTTGGCAAATGCCGATCAGGGCCGGGACCAGAAGGCATGTGAGGCACAGAGGCCGTGGTGGAGGGCACCTGGACTGGGGACCTGGGGAGATGAGCTCCCAGCTCTCCCAAACACTGGCCACATTCAGCACTACAGCAGAAGCCAAAGTGAAAATGAAGTGACTTCAGTTCTTCCGCACTGGTCGTCTTGTGCTGCCTGAGTGTGTGTGTGTGTGTGTACATGTGTACAGAAGTCCAGTCCAGGGCAGATGGAGCAGAGTGGATGTGTTGATGACACAGGCCCTCCTGTCACAGCTGCTTGCTGTGAACATGCCAGCTCTAACCCAGCCGCATTACCATCCTAGAAGGTAGAAGGTACAGCACATGGGGCAGACAGTATCATGAGGGCTGCATTGACATCTGTGAAGCAGTGTGTACTAGCAGTGTCCTTGAGCACTGGGTTCTGAGGCCCTCACAGTGCTCACCACCCTCGTGGTCACTACGGGGACAGAGGACAGGGGTGGGACCTCACAGTGCTCACTACCCGTGTGGTCACCATGGGGACAGGGAACAAAGGGGTGGGACCCTCACAGTCTCCTTTCACAGTCACCGTATGGACAGAGGGGTAGGACCCTCCCAATGCTCATTCTCAGGGTCACCACAGGGACAGGCGACTGGGGTAGGGCCCTCACAGTGCTCATCCTCATGGACACGGGGTTAGCGCCCTCACTGCTTATCATCATGGTCACCACAGGGCCAGGGGACAATGGTGGGGCTCTCAACAGTACTCACCCTCATGATCCCCACCGGGACAGACATACTGGGGTCTAACTAGTGATTTACAGTGGCAGAGACATATTTGTGAAGGTGCAGTTCTCATGATAAGAAGTGAATGTGCCTAGAAACTCCATCCATAGAACCTGGACAATGCAGGGTGCTAGAGCAGGAAGGTTTCTCAGCATCCTTGGCCACAGCTTGGTGTCTCAGCCTCTCAGGACCACCCCTGCCCCGAGGGGAGTCCTAGCACCCCTCAGACCAGTGTGAGCGTGGTGTCAGCCTCTCATTGGAGTCCTACACCCCACAGACCAGTGTGAATGTCCTTGCTCTGGGCTGGAGGATCTTGTTACCCCCGTGCCCTAGAGCTATCATTCATCTGGCACTTGGCTGTTCTGTGGCAGTTTGGACGCTGCTGCAAAGTTAGAAGCTGTGCCACCAGCTCTTCTAGAATATCGACAGGATCACCCAGAGTAGACAACACAACTTCCAAACCAAAAAGCAGGACTGGCCTGCTGCTTCAGAAAGCCCTGTGTGTATCAGAAGAGCATTGTTGGACCTAGGGTTGGAAGATGAGCCCCAGGTGGTAAGGCAGGTACCCCACAGGGTCTGCCTTAATGACAGATGAGTCAAAGCTGTCACTAAACGGAGGCCCTTTATTTGGTGATGTGGAACCCCTAAACTGAGGAGAAAACGGAAACCCTCATTAACTGAATGGTGGAATGTATGAATCTAGGAACATTGGAAATTGCCAAAAATGAAATAGAATCCATAAAAATAGGCATCCTGCGCATTAGTGAGCTGAGATGGGCTGGGATTGGTCATTTCTGATCAGGCACTTGTCTTCTATGCCTGGAATGACAAGTTGGAGAGGAATGGTCTCAAGCTGAACTGAAAAATTCAAGACCAGAGTTGCAACACTGAAAGATTCTATAAGCAAAATACTGACTAATGCTGGCTACATCAGAAGAAGATAGAATGAATATAGAGTCATTATACCAAAAAGAAATGGTCAACATAGAAACAATTCGGGAAATAGCATATGATCAAGAACTAATGATACTGAAGGAAGAAATCCAAACTATATTAAAAGCATTTGCAAAAAATAAGGACTCAGAAATTGAATACCAATTGAGGTATTTTAGCAAATAAATGTAATCCTGAATATGTTCACCAATCTATGCCAAAAAATTTGAAAGACTGCTACCTGGCAAACTAATTGGAAGAGATCAATATTTATTGCTATTGTTGTTATGTGCCGTCGAGTTGCTTGCGACCCATAGTGACCCTATGTACAACAGCCCTAAACTCCGCTCTGTCCTGTGCCAATCGCACTGTCTGACACTCCCATCCCAATT